GACCACCACACTAGCAATCACCAACGTGTTAACGCGCCTGTTCGTTACGCACGGACTACCCGACTCCATCGTCTCCGATAATGGCCCACAGTTCGCATCAATAGAGTTCAGCCATTTTGCTGCCAACCTGGGCATCCGCCACATTTTCACAGCCCCATTTCACCCTGCCAGTAATGGGTTGGCGGAAAGAGCCGTCAGGACCACCAAAGAAGCCCTCGCCAGGTTCAGCAGGGATGACTGGCACCACAAACTCTCATGGTTCCTGATGAGCCAGCACTCAACCTCCTGTTCAGTCACCAATAAGTCCCCAGCGGAGCTCCTGATGGGCCGGCGCCTGAGGACTGTATTGGACAGACTTCACCCACAATACTGCCCTGACTCTCCCCTCGCTTCCACTTCGGGGGTTAGACATTTTATGTTACAGGAGCCGGTATTCGCGAGGAATTTCGCTGGGGACCCACTATGGATGCCAGGCGAGGTCATCGCCATCACCGGGCCGAGATCGTATAGGGTCAGGCTGGAGGATGGTCGCGTCTGGAGGAGGCACATAGACCAACTGCGGAGGCGCCACAGCACCCTTGCCAGCAGAAATCCAGAGTCACCAGACGAAGGGGAACCGCCTCATCCGCCTCTCAGCCTCATCGCTCCCAACGTCCAGTCCGCACCAACAGCCGTTCCGGTCAGCCCGAACTCGGACAACAGCGCCCCGAGAGTTGACCAGCCTGATCCAGCCCACGGGAACTCGCCCCCAGTATCCAACCCTGCGAGTCCCGAGGATGCCCAATCCGGAGAGCGCGTTGGCGACACGCTGCCGGCTCAACCGTCACAGACTGATTCTGAACAGACAGACAATGTTCCCGAGCTGCGCCGTTCCGGGCGCCAACACAAACCCCCCGTCTACCTCAAGGACTACGCATGTTCGCATCTGGGGGGAAGGGGTGTTATGTCCTGAGGACTCTAGGAGTTCTCACTCAGGTCCACTCACTTTGTGTGGGCGTTCTTCCCCCTTTCCTCATTGGTTGGTTCTCTCCAGCAGCCAGCTATAAAAGCAGGCTGCGGGGTCCAACCAGTTGCTGATTGCTGCGAGCCAGTTCCAGGTGTGGCAAGCACGGTCAGCCTTTTATTGTTATAATAAAGTATTGTTGCACTCATGCTCTGGTTCAGCCTCTCATTGCTCAAACTTAACATTTAGTCTCTTCATTTGTACTGTGTAATTGCAGAAATACAACAATTTTATTTTTCCCACTATCAGTTGTGTCATCCGGGAAGTCCACTTTTATAGAGGACTTTTCTGCAATAGAAGATCCTTTTTGGATGAAAATGCCCATCCATATGGGCCATGGAATTGATGTTGGGTTTGGAGGCAGATATTGCCTTTACCATATTGTTTTTACATGTGTGGAGGATATGATATCAGATTAATCTGGATCTCTCTTTCTGCTTTTGTTAATAGTGATTAGTTTCACTATTGAAACAAAAAAGGTACATATCCCCACATATGTGCCAGAAGTAGTAGCAAGATGATTATTTCAATGTATACCAATTATCTTTACAGAGGTTTTTTTCATGTCCAATTTCCTTTCCTTGGTTTTTAATATCTACAAGAATCTTCAGAGTGAGTTGTCCAGAATGACAGAATGCAAGGTCATTAGTATGCACTTCTGAAATCACCAAGGCCATAGATATTCAAATATTCTTTCACAAATCAGAAAATAGAATGTATCATTAAATCTGCTTCATCTACCATTTTTTTCTGTTTACTGGAGGAGCTGAATGACTATGCAAATTAAAATCTGCAGATGTTATCTTAAAATAGAGATGGGAAATTTGTTTCTCATTATATTTTGTTGAGCTTCAGCTTCCATCAAGCCAGCGTATTAATTACTGAGGAATGATGAAAGTTGCAGGTTTCTGTCCCTTCCTTTAAAAAATGATCATACAGTAAGAAAGAATGCATAGTGGGCAGAGATAGTGACTCCCAACAATCCTGAAGGTATCAGTTTGAGTAATTTGTGATTCTGTTAACAATGTACAACATTTCTGAGAAGATCAAAATAAACACTGAAAAGGCTCAAAGCATGATGAAATCACATAGAGACTTTTCATACTGCTGGAGAGTTAGAAAATAAAACGTTTAGGTACATTTAAAAAAAATCTTTGACAAGATAAAGGAGGTGGCTTATTTCAAAATATTTGCTTTATTCATTTTATCTGCAGGCCCTTGAGGTTTTGACTTCATCCATTGAGTATGGGTTGAATGACCTCAGAAAGGTAAGGATCTCACACTGCAGTTTATGAATCCTCATCGAGGATTTTATAATTTATGGAAGTATGTGCCATGTAGTTAGTGGCATTGGATACTGGCTTATTTGATTCAAAGACTGCAAGATTTATTTATATCCTTATACTACTTTAGACACTTTGTTATTCTAGATTGGACTACAGATCATTTAACTCAAATTCTTCAGATCCCCACCTATGTAGAAGTAATACAATGGTAAGACTTTCTACCATTCCTCATTATAAAAGAGAAACCTTGTCAGTGCAGCATTGATATTGGCAGGACAGAACTACATATTGATTCAGCCGATAATCAAAATGTTCTTTATTATAGTTTTGTAAGTGAATGGCAGAAAGAAAATAATTATTGCAGTTACCACCAGTAGGAAAGTGAGCTGATTTAATTAAATTAAGAGCTTTTCCCCATGTCCTGGGAACGTTTTTTATTTTCTCTCCTGATTGAGTTTTATCAGCTCAGATTTGATACTAGTAGAAACAGTCCTGTCCTCTTCATCTTTTATCCCCAAAGCATTGAGTGGGCAACCTTAAGTTATCTTTAGCATAATGGGTGGGCCCCATATTCTAGCACCTTCCAAGGGCACTCTCAAATCAGGCTTTGTCACTTGTTATCTCAAGGAGGTCAGACAATGTGTAGTGACTTGAAAGAGAGGCAATCTGAGCCAGACATGGCAGTGGGAATTTCACACTGTTATCCTTTTCTGCCAGCTAAGAGATGGGGGATAGCACTTCTACTCAGCAGTGGAGAAAAGCCAAGTAAGGACTGCATTTAGACGAAGGTTTTGTTGAAAACTTGACATAAATACTGTCTATTAGGCAGAGATGTAAGATCTAATGGTGGTGTTTCAGCTGGGCCTTCCTTATATGTTGGTTTTTCATTAATTGGAATTTGCATATGATTTGTCAAAACTCACAGTACCTCTGACTTTAATAATTAATGCAATTTTTGTTTATTGAAAATACATTGCTTTAATTTGTCACTGATATCAAGGAACCTGGGGAATTGCTGTGGGAACAGCATTAGGGAATTCCTATAATCTAAATGAAACTGATAATCCTCTGCATATGTGCATACACGCAAATTAGCCGTCGGTGACTTGGAGGAAGCACCATATATTGGGTACTTCCAGATTTGCATCAGTTATATAAAAACAACAGCAACTGTCACATTGGTGGCACCACTAAGCTTTGTCACGGCAGGTGCTGTTTAACACAGGAACTGCTGACATTGTAGAACTCTCTTCTAATGACTTCATTAACATCTGTCCTATTTAGACAAATCTAATTTGAATAATTTCTGTTATGTGAAGGCTTTGTGTCTCCATTTGGTTTGCTTCTATTTTGCACAAAAATCTATGTTCTCCCTCCATGCGTTTAATTCTAGAGCTTCTTTCTTTAAACCCTTAGCTACATTTAGCCAGTTTCCTGACAAACTGATAATCGGCTTCTTGTCCTTGTCCTTTCTCTTTTTTCTTTTCCATGTTTACACAATTCCAATTATAACATATTTACTGGCATTGTGATTGTTTAGTTAGTACAAACTTACTGAATTATGTGTAGTGATGAAAAATAGTCCATATGAGTTAGCCATGTTGTGGTAAAATGGAATGGAATGGAATAGAATGGAATAGACAGAGTTGGAAGGGACCTTGGAGGTCTTCTAGTCCAACCCCCTGCTTAGGCAGGAAACCCTACAGCACTTAAACTTCCAGTATTGGAGCATTCACAACTTCTGGAGGCAAGTTGTTCCACTGATTAATTGTTCTCACTGTCAGGAAATTTATCCTTAGTTCTAGGTTGCTTCTCTCTTGATTAGTTTCCACCCATTGCTTCTTGTCCTGCCCTCACGTGCTTTGGAAAATAGCTTGACTCCCTCTTCTTTGTGGCAGCCCCTGAGATATTGGAACACTGCTATCATGTCACCCCTAGGCCTTCTTTTCATTAAACTAGACATACCCAATTCCAGCAACCATGCTTTATATGTTTTAGCTTCCAGTACCTTAATCATCTTTATTGCTCTTCTCTGCACTCTTTCTAGAGTCTCAACTTCTTTTTCATGTTGTGGCAACCAAAACTGGATGAAGTATTCCAAGTGTGGTCTTACCAAGGCATTATAAAGTAGTATTAACATTTCACATGATTCTATCCCTCTGTTAATGCAGCCTAGAACTGTGTTGGCTTTTTTGGCAGCTGCAGCACACTGCTGGCTCATATTTAAATGGTTGTCCAAGATCCCTCTCACAGTTACTACTATTGAGCAAGGTATCACATATACTGTACCTGTGCATTTTTTTTTCTTGCCTAAATGTATAACCTTACCATCTCTTCGATCTTCCACTTGTGCCCTATTGGAATCCCCCCCGCCCTTATTAAATTAATATCTAATATAAGAGGTACAGACTTTCATGGGAATAATCTGAAGGAAGTGCTAGTGCTGGCCTTTTCTTAGACTCTGATCAATCTCCTTCCTAGCAGTTGTATTGGTTTGCTTTGAATATTTTACAATGTTCTATGTTTGTTGTTTTCCATTCTTAGCATCATTTTCAGTAAACCGAAAAAGGTCAGTAGGTATACAGTTACAAACATTGATTGTTCTTGTTTCTCATTTTAATCCATGGAAAAATATATGGTCTCCCCGCCACCATCCCGGTATAGGGCAACTTCAGAAGACAAAAGTTGTCCTATATATAA